CCTGATCCCTTGGTTGTCCTGCAGGTGGCCTTACAGGATTGTCTTACAGGATAAAATTGTTTAGTTAATTTAAATGTATTAACAAATGTATTGTCCCATATCTAAAAATGAAAGTCATCAAAGCAACTTCATTACATTTCTAGAAAGAGAATGGATGGAAAATGTATATGCGATGTTCAGTTTATGACAGATGAATGTAGTTGGTGATTGAGGATCAGAGTTCTTGGTGAAGTTAGCACCAAATACTTCAGCAATGTGCGTTAAGGACAGATAAATTGTAAGACCAGGTCTCATAAATGGAACTAGCAGAAGGCTTAGTAAAAGTAGAAATACAAACTAATTTCCAGAAGTGTAGTTGCTGCACTTACTTTCATTTTGTAGCTTGGTGATTGCTGCTTTTAAGTATCTGTAGGACTTGATCATGGTCATAGTAAAATTATTCCTTTTCTTGTTATCTGAGTTTAGACTACTGTAACTTAAAAATCAGACTGCTGCTAAAACCACAGAATGAGGCTGCGGGGGAACATGGCTACTTTGAGTTCAGACTATCCCATCAGGAGCGTGCAGGGCAGTACACTGGGGTGGCTTCCCACTTGATGGCTACTTAAGGGATTGACGTACATTTTTGCAGTGGGTAGCAGACTGGAGGCTCTGATTGTTTAATGCTTCTGGAATTTAGTCATGCCGTTATTGGGTATTCTATAGTATCTAGGATTTTCATCATTTTTGCAAATAATTTGTATTTGAATTAATGAAGTTACATTAATATTGTTATTTAAGGCCTTGATGGATGATAATGTGGTATTAGCTGAGCAAAGCATACACATACATCACCCTGAATCAGAGCCTAAATCTCTGATAAATTTAGAAGTAGCTTATACCTATGGAGGGACTCATAGTAGCATGACTTGCTTAGCACGCTTTATACACAGTCCTTCTTACACAATGCCAAGTTCAAAGTTAGTAGTAAGTGTGAACTATTGTTCCACCTAAGAGCAGAGTAGCATTATTTTCTTGGTAAGTGGGTTAGAAGCAAATTTGCTTTTATTATAGCTTTTGCCTTGCCAATTTTGCTTTGCCTCTGTAGTCATGGCTCTTAAGCTGAATAACTGAAAACATTTTCCCTAGCAGAGTTAGTATGCAGAGAATTGCAATGCAAGAATAATATATTTTGTTTAAAAATAGATACTACAAGCATATTCACTCGGATGGCTCTGTGTGTGTGCATGTAAAATCTGTCATGGGAGAAAGGGAAGACTGTGTATTCCATCATGATGGTTGTCCCTTTGTGATTTGAGACTATTTCTGTTTTAGACAAAAGTTCCCATAAGATTCCCTGCTTGGACTCCTGAAGGAGCTGGAAAAACGATTTCCGTCCAGAAGTAATAATAGCATGGGCTTTTGGTTTTGATCATAAACTGACATTTAAAAGTCATCTGAGGAAAGATACTTCTTGATTAAAGTCAGGTTTTGCTTAATGCAGTTGTAGCTGATCTTTCCCATCTGGTATCACGCTACTTTATGTGCTTTCTTTAGTTGTCCGGTGTCCAGTTTACGAGATCCCATAGGAATTATTGACTTCCCGAGGGACCTTTCGGTGGATCGGGTCATTCTGTTACCCTGCTTGTTGCTCGGCTTTTCTTTTCCCTGGGCAAAACTTAGAAAAGTTGCGCAGCAGAGAATACGAGGCGATAACCCGGTACCCAGACAGTGTTTTTGGAATCGTAGTTCTGTCAGGACTATTGCAGCTTGTGCATACCGTGTGCCTGCTTTTTCACTTAAGTGCCAGATACCCACGTTTTACCTGTGGTTACAGACGTTACGTTTTGTACCTGGAATATGAAAGGTAGATTGCATTTCCTGGGTTTTATTCCATAAATTGTCTGTATTTAACACTGCTGGCTTAACCCCAGGTGCAGTAGTTTTGCTTCCTGCTTCTGCCACGCTGTCATTCTAAGGCGTCTCCCGTAGGTGAGACGGGCAGCCGTACATCCGTACGTGGGTCTGGGCGAGGTACTGCTTCATGCCACAGTTAGGACTTCAGTTTTAGCGTGTAATACGCCTGAAGAGAGCTGCAGGTATTTGTGTTTTGGCTTTTTGTGGATTGCTAAGATATGATTGTTTGTTGCTAAGAAGCTGGATTTTATCCCAAATCCTGTGCATCTCTCACAAGATCAGATTCTCACGGCATTCAGACCAATTGCCAAAACCCTGGCATTTATTAAAGGCACAGAATAACCGCTTCCTTTGCACAAAACTCACCAACACAGTCTCCCCCAGGTACAAGGAAGCTTTTAGACAGCAGAAAATTATACACTTTGAGATTTCCTTGAGATAACCCCCGGTTTCTATACAACATAAAATACCACCCAGTAGCTGGGGTAAACGCATTGATTACGGCAGCTACACAGGCACTCCCAAACACGTAATGGGTGCATTTACAGTGTTTTGAAAATTGGAACTCTTATCTAGTTCCTCTGATCTATTTTCTCTTGTGATTCCCAAAGGTCTCAGTATGGGCGGATGAAGATAAAACATGACTCAGTGGTTAGCTATGGTATACTTGGGAGCTCTTGTAAACGAGGCACTAAGAGCTGAGTTCACCAGATAGATAGAAGCTAATCCTAAATTTCTAGTATTTTCAACCTGGAGCTAAAGAGATCGCTAGATTTTCTGAGAGCTATGATAGCAGACAAACGAAGGCACGTAATGAATATCACAGACAGACATGGGTTATTGGGAAGGAAAGCCTGAAAAACATGTTTTATTTTGTCATCAGAGGAGCGTAATGCCACAGGGAGGAGGAGGAAAGCTGAAAAAAAAGTCACTGTTCTGCTAGGTGAGTGACCTTAGATCAGCCACGTTTTCATGCTGTAACTACCGTGCACTTTGTTGCCCTTTACGTGTCTTTGTTCCCAGGATAGGTTGTGGTCTTTATCCCCACGGTAAATACAGTGCTAGATACTTTGTAGAAATTAAAACTGGCAAATTCCATGTGTTTTATGTCATTTGGCATTCTCCACCATCCCCCCTTCGGTTTGTCATAAATTCCTAAACCAGGACAAGGTCACATCTGGTAGCAATTTCAGTCTGCCAGATGAGACGTAATCCTATAAAACCCAAGTCATTTTCTCCAGCGCTTTTCAAAGACGAGCTCTCCTGCTCCTTTTCCATAAGAGACACCACTTGCCCCGTGAGCGCTGTAGAATGATTCAGGCTGACAGACTTTTCACACTTTATAAACTACAATTTTTGGAGCACAGCTTTGTAGCCGGTATGTAAGACAGTACAAGCAAGTAACAGCGTTGAAGTCTTCACGATAACAGGCTGCGTCTAGATTTTGTTTTCTTTTGCAATAGCGTGTCCCTGCAGGATGCAGTAATTGCCGCCTTTCCCAGTATTTTGATGTACATGCATCTCATACTCTTGAGTAACCCATCACCTTGCACACGGCGTAACTTCTAAAGAATCCATACCTAGCTACTCTTCTGCTTTTCTTCTACATGCTTTTAAAATAGTTATAGTGAAAGTTACTATAGTCTTAGGTAACTCAAGATAAAACACACTGCAAAGTATTAGAGGCACTAACAAAGTAATGGAATGATGATCAATCTTTGCATGTTGTAGTAACTGAAAATAGCTCTAATTCCCAGTAACGGGAAAGTTTTAATAGTAGTCAGTGGTTTTATATGCTTTATCATGTTTCCATTGTGCCATTGTATTTTGATAATAATGGTTATTTTGGCATCTCATTTGCCTTTATGCTTTCAAAGCAAAGCACTGTATGGAGCTTGGTGATCCCGTTTCAAAAGGAGTACCAAACTCTGTACTAGTAAGGTTACTTAAATCACTGGGGGGTGTTTGGTGAAATGGTGACATATTATAATGGGTTATTAAATCAAATTAACAAAACTTAGTTAAAAAATAGTCTTTCAAGGTTTCCTCTGAGGTGACCAAATTTAAGTACCTCTTGATATCATGTGAGTGATACTTAAAACACCTCAAAAAAAACCCCCTCCAAACCATCAAAACTTAAACTGTGAATTTTAAACAGTTAGTATTGTTATCCTTAACTATTACAAATGCAAGCTACTAAAATCCATTGCGAGTGGAAAACACTAGCTAGAAACCACCTTGTCTGCTCTGATTTTTGTGACCTAATTTATACCCTTTTGAATCTGTTTATTCACAGGCAAAATACCCCAAGGTTGTGACCCTTCCAGAAGGGCTGCTGGGAGATTATATAATCCTAAGGAACCCCAAACTTTCTGGGTAAGCCAGTAACCAGGTTTCTTGATTTATCCAGATAGAGAGTTGTGAAAGGGACAGTGACAATCTATGGATAATAGGTCTGCTTGAACATTAAGTCACTCTTTGCTGTGTAAGGCCTCTAAACCCAGACATCAGACTATGTGCATTACAGTTTAGGGCTATAAACCACGTCAAAAACAGGAGGAGAAAAAAACCAAAGAAAACCAAAAATGTATGCACGGGCCACATGGATGTAGCCTTGTTAGAAAGTCAATCAACTGCATTGCTACTGTGTGTACCTACTCTTTTAAAAAGCTAGGAGGAAAAAAAATAAAGGGCTCTAGCAGGCCTTTCATTTGCATTTGAAGGAAAAAAAAAATCTCTTACTGTCTTGGTTTTGGAAGCTCATACTACAATGAAGAGTCAAAATTAAAAGCTTAGGAACGTGGGATGCACCCTCCCTCTCACACATCAGAACCCATGTCAGGTTCAGCTGGATTTGTTCCATCTTGGTTTTCTTTCTGCATTACATGACCAGGGGAGGACTGCTGCTGAGGCCAATGTCCATCTTATGTGACAGGGTGGGCCCCTGGCACCCCTCCCCTGTGAGATAAGGCAGTGTTTTCCACCCCTGGGCCCAACCATTAAAGAATGGAAAGAAAAATTGCAGTTACCATGCTACTGAAAGCAACTGTAGCTGTATTTTTCCATTGTTTTAGCAGGAAATCAGATCAGATATGAGAGGTGATCATTTGTTGTTATTACTCTGCCCCACATGCTGGATTTGTTTGGGCTCCCTGCTAGACATGTCCTGGCAGGTTGGGGTTTTTAAATCGAGAAAAATAAAATCCTTGAAGTTTCCTGTAAGACAGTATAATTATCACTGTCAGGAATTCTGTAAGGGCCAAGAAAAGTAACTATTTTGTGAAGGGATCAGACCATTCCCTTCTCCTATTACATCTTTGCTATAACATGCATTAATTTATATGGAAACAACTGGAAATAAAGCATAGCTCCCTCCATCAGATTTGTTTGTGGAACTAGCAAATAAACCATAATAGATAGTGCTGCCTCGGCACTGCAGTGCCAAATCGCCATGTGGAGCTAAAGGCTTTAAATCTGCATTGCTGAAATGAATTGTTGGTAGGCCATCGCCATTAGAAAATAAGCTGCTTTACTGTGCAGCTTCTCCTCATGTTGACTGGTGCCAAGTTCCATTACACATCATGAAAGACAAGAATCTAAAAATCATTTCAGTGGGTTGGGAGAAAATACACTTACTTGCATATTAATTTGTTTGCAAGATCCCAGAATGAGCTTGTGCACAAATCCTCAAAGGAGTTTTAACAGTGAAGTAGCAAAAGGCTGACAAATCTTACTTGAAGGAGACTTTTACGGTCGCAATTCTCAGCATTGTTTGAACAAAGGGAACTTTCTCCTCCCATTGACCTGGTTTCTCCTCCCATTGACCTGGTGCTGTGCCTGGAATTCCTTCAGCAAGGCATGCAAGGGAATACAAAACACGGTGAAGCAGATGGGACTGGGACGTTACAAAGCAGCAAATCTGTTGTGAATGTTGCTCTGGAAGTAATCCCTGTGTACTTGACTAGAAAGACTTCCCCCCTGCAGAAGCCAACTGTACCTGGAAATGAAGTAATAACGATTCCTTGTCAATAGATTTAAGGTTTCTTGAAAGGAGGTTCATGCTCGTTTAAAGACAGTTATGTCATTAACACGAGGCAACTAACTTTTCTCTGTGCGTGCTACAGGTTTGAACTAATGATTGTTTGGAAGATACACATAGATGAAGAAGGGAGAACTACACCTGTTCTGGACCTTCTGACTAAAGTACCAGAGCAAGGTAACATCATTCACTCCAGAGACCCCTTCTGAGCTTTCAAGTAGAATGACCCCTTTTTTGGCCAACATCGCTTTAGATAAAATGAAAATACATCTTACAGAGCCCAACCAGGCAAAGAAATCCCAGCTTAGCAAGCAGCTAAGCTTCACCTCATGTATAATTTAAAAGGGCTTACGAAAGAAGTATGTCATTGTCTTGACAGCAGGTAGCTGGTTTTATCCAAAAATGCTTGCTGACAGTGACTTTCAGTAATAGTGCAATTCTTTGAAAATAATGTTCGCTGTTCCTTCCTTCTTGCAGTCTTGGAGCTGAAGATGGCAACTATTGAAAATGCCCCCGCCCGCTTCCGAAGCATGCTGCTTCTGTTCGGGATCGAGACAGCAGTCGAGAATCTGATCAAAGTGGTTGGCTCAGAAAAATGAGTACCACAACGTGACTTGCAACAGGTAGCAATTTCCAAAGTAGTTTTAATTAAGATATTGTGTTACACAGTCTATAATTTTATTGAATATAAACATTAAGTTATTTTCCATTTAGAAACCATACTCATAAAACATGCTATCTGTACAATTATGGCACGTTATATATAAATTGTCATGACATGAAAATAAATACAGCCATTTAAATACAAAAATGCCAAATAAAATAGTTACATGTACAGAGTGATTTCATTATAAATTTATCTTTCTGAATCATTAATGTACCAGAGTGGTTTATCTTCTTAACATTTTCTAGATACCTGGAAAGTGTTAAAAGATCATGCACTGCCACAATCAAGTCCATAAAAATCCATTTCATTTCACAGCTCTGTAAAAGTACAGTGATTTTAAAATTACAAGAGAACAGTAAGAGACTCCTAGAACAAAGAGTTAAATAGCTTTCTCATTAAATTAGGGTGGAAGTAGACAATTTGAAGATTTCAAAGACATACTATGCTAAACAACAACAAAAAAAAAAAGGGCGGAGGGGCACAACTGTATGAAGTGACTTTTTTCCACAATGTGTGAAGTAGACATTAAACTAAACAGGAAAGGACCGTTACACTTCTGTCGAGATGGACGAGTTCACTACTGCTCACTGCAGTACTTCAATTTGATTTCCTACTTCTAGGGGAAAATTCTAGTAGGTAACACGTTACAAGAGCATCACATTTCATACATTCATCCCTGAAGAAACAAAACAGATTAGACAGATGTCTTGTAACCTTCCTTCCCTCAGATGGACCATTAGCTCATTTGAGAACCCTCAGCATCTTTCAGGAGAGCTCCTGCTCTGCACTTGCTACTGCAACCAAATGACCTCATCCAAACCAAACCTATACAATCGTCAGGGTAGGCAGCAACATTTGTTATTCCTGGAATCAAGGGGCCAAAACCACCACCTGTGGACTCTCAGGAAATGGTAAGAGGCTTCCTTTTCAAGTTCCTAGCTGCTCTAGCCATGCAAGCAGTACAACTGCCCGCTCCATTTATAAGTTAAGACAAAGTATTATATAGCAATGGTGAAACAGGTGGACAAATCAAGAACTAAAGCAACAGTATGTTTATAATATGATAAATTTAATAATGCGCTATTTGATCACTGAAATAGTCTCCTACTGTTCTGGCAGGTCAGGAAAAACTGATTGGGGTCCACAGCTGAGCAATGCCAGGGATTAAGTTTTGATGAACAGCAACTCTGTAATAAAATACCTTGTTAGGTATAAAGCAGACTAAGTTTGGAATCCAGCAGACAGGCAAAATTCGTTGCTACTTTATCCACTGACATGTTACTGGTTTAGCTAGGTTTGTGTAACCTGTAGATTATTCCATCTTTAGCTCCTCCTTGCACCAAAATGAAACTGCTTGCTCAGCACACACACTTCCATGTGCACACCAAGTGCATGTAATGTTACAGCATTAAAAACTGAAAGCTTTCCAGCTGTGGGATAGTCCTTCCTTCCCTCTCTTACCTAACAGTGGAAGATTTCTAGACTGAAAAATAGATCTCTCTCAACCCCTTCTTTCCAAAGAAAACCTGAGGGGATTACCACTGTCAGCTACCAGCTTATTGCACTGTCATCATGTCACACTGCAGCGAGAGCAGAAAGGCACGCGGTCGCCTGGAAGTGGAATACAAGAGACTGCTAACGTGGGTCACCACCCACAGCAAAGCTCTGCTGCTGTGGGAGCGGACTTCCTCCGGATTTTCTATTTCTTCCTTGAGTTGTGCCAACAAGATACAGGATTTTCCGGTTTTGCACTTTTTGAATTTCAGGTAAAATGGAACAACTCAAAACATCACATCAAGATCCCAATATAAACTTTTTTATATTATTTTGAAAGACACTAGCAGTAAGCGCACACTGTATCTAGGTAACAGCAGCTGACTGTAGCTTGAATAGCATCTCTCTGCACATTTCAAGGTGTGTAATCCTCATGCATATGGGAAAAGGGTCTGCAGATTTTATCGTGCTAGCCTCACTTTTGAATATATCCTCAGTTTCACTCAGGATCTTCCCTGAGGATGGCTTTTACTGCAACATCTGGCAAGACTTCAGCTGCACACATACCGATGTTTACAAAGTAAAGCCATTGTTACATTGCTGAAGTAGTGACAGAAGCTTAGCTCCAGCACGCACCATGAGACAGTGACGCCCTGCAGCTTCAGAAAATCAGACCCTGCCACCTTTTTCTGTGTTGCTTCACAGGAATGAGCCTGAAAGCAGCTGGTCATGCTAACGCAGCCTGAGGGGTATCGATGAAATAATGCCAACGTTTGACACAATCCAAAAGACCTGAAATAATCTGTAAAACTCAGAATATATTATTCTTAGAGCTCAATTTAAATTAGGTAAGAGTGAGCTGTGGTTTCACCTTCAATAGCAGCATATAATGTATAGAAAATAAGAGACCAGTATGTCAGACGACTTAAGCCCAGCTATCACATAAAATTCAAAGACGCTTACCTTTAACCCTTTTCAGCTCATTTCAGAAGCTTTAGGTAGATACAAGTGATCACAAAACTTCTAGAGGCAGTCTGGTGTTCTTAATCTCATGCATTAGTACTTAAAAGTGTCCTGCAGTAACACGGTAGTTACACAGATCAGTAACACTTGAGTAGCCACTTCTGCTGTATTTTCAGTGGACTTAATGTTAAACTTTTACATTGGGTTTTGAGCGAGGCGCAAAGCACAAGCTCCAAGGCAATTCTCTTGTTTGTTAGTAATTGGGCTTTCTATGTTAGTGCAATACTTCAGGAAACCTTTAACTCCGTGCTCTTTCAATTCTAAGGAAGTAGATTTTTAGTATTCATTTGATCTGTCCTCTAGTTCCAAGGTATGGCACATTATCTGTTCTGTCCTATTAAATACATTCATTAAGGTTATATAGCAAATGTGTGTTTTAGTGCTATTCCATGTCTTTGAAAAGGCATACCAATTAGAAATCATTTCTTAAAGCAAAAACATTCACAGCTGAAAAATGTACTGAACACAAATAGAAAAAAATCAATCACCATAATTGTATTCCATTAATCTTTCACTTTCTAATGTGTTCAAACAAAAATAACCTTAAGGAAACGGTTACACTTTGTGGAGAACTAATGTGCAGTCTTCGTTCTCCTTGAAGAGACTGGACATAACTGGGTCATCTTTGGCCTGTACGTTCTTCAAATAATAGTTTACTATCTTGCCATCAAGCTTGTACTGATGAGGAATGCTTTCATACGGTTTTAGATCGAGGTCCAGGACAGAAACAGAAAAGGTGAATCTTGATTTGGACGTTAGTACCACAGGTCTTTGCTCAGAGCTGGAAAACAAAAGCGTATCGTACATCTGAGTCACCGAAGCTAACATTTTTCATTTGTGTATCCCGAGTCCTCTTGCAAAAGTGACTCTAATGTTTACCTTAAAACTTTCATGGGAGCTTAAGAAAATAAACTTCAGCTAATGTAGCCTTTAGGAAACTAAAGCTCCAGCTTAACCAAGTGAAGTCTGAAGTGAACTTGCTGGCACCTCTTCCAGTCATTTTCCTTTCAGCTTCCACACAGCTTAAATCAAAACATCACTTTCAGTTACTGTGTCTTTGTGTGTAGTAGCTCCAGTCTGTTTCTAGCTGGTAAGCATACTAAGCAACAGCCTCATTAACTAGCAGACACAGCAAGAATCACTGCGCCTCCCACTTGGGTTCAAGGTAATACAAATTCTGTATCCAAAGGACGGAGGACTTAATACTACGTCAACCACTGCACAAATCATCTCCGTCGGGAACATTTTATTGAAGAACTGCAGGGCAAAAGCGCAGGGCAAAAGCAGAAAACAACATTCTCTAAAAATAACAAGGCTTTGGTAAAGCAAACTCCTCTCTCTAAGAGCAGTTGCTGACACAAGTCAAAATGGATAATATTATGGCAAAGCCTCCTGCCTTACAGTGATAGATGTCACCTCTTGATTATTGCCTTGTTTTTATTCTAATTAGGCAGCTGAAGGCAACTCATCTTGAGAAATCTCTAACACTAGGAAGCTAAAGCAGAAAAATTGCACCTAGTTAAAACCATACTGTACATCTACTATGAACAGTCAATTCAGATTTCAACAAGGGAGTAAATATAAAACCTTAACCCTTTTTATCAACTTAGCACTCTTTAGAAACAGATTATTTGTCCTTAAATGTCTTAAATCAGAACTCCACCTTATTAATATGCTCACAGCCAAATATTTGGACACCCCCCTCCAAAAAAACCCTACTTGTTTTAACAGTTACTTGAATTGACTGAACTGTGCAAATGCATCTTCAACCTGGAAATGAGGAGGGGTCACTCGCAAGCAGGTCTCTTACCATTCATCTTGTAGACAGGGTGAAAGGGCAATCATGATGGAGCAGTCTTTAGCAGTCATCGCTATTCTGTACTGCTGCACCTATACAACACAAAACCAACATGGATTTTCCATTAGATTTGTAGTTGCCTTCAGTAAAGCATACCCTGTTCTTTATGAAAGGCATTAGTATACTCAGTGTGTTAGTATGTTGGTATTTTAGGAGCTGGAAATTATCTCTGTAACAGATGGTTAGCAGGAACAAGTGGTTTTACAGCATCCTGTATAAGAATTGCACTTATTTCCTACAGATGCTTTTCTGGAAGGCCAAAAGAGCACCAGTTCACGCAAATGCTTCCTCAGACTAGAAAGGAAATAACCAGCTTTATTTTTCTCTCAAGAGCTGGTGCTAAACATGTTTGCTTTTAGCTGCTTCTGCTGTAAAGATACACCCTGGCACAATTAAGAACTTTAACCGTATAGACCTCTGACAAGCCAGTGGTGATGCTAACATGCTATCCATCTGTTTCTGATAGAGAGGGGTTTATTAAAATTGACAGACTAATTAAGCTTCAACAACACACACAGGAAAAGTACCTTTGTTAACGCAAATGCTACTGTCCCGTCATCTTCAGTTGAAAGATCTAGCAGCTTCTCATAAAACGCTTCATTGTAAGGTC